GGCCGGGCTGGGGCGCGCGTGGCACGGGGCGCGCGTGGCACCCGGTGCCCGGTGGCCTGTCCGCGCGGAGGCCCGGCCACAGCCTGCTGAAAGTTGGGTCAGAAGTGTATACAGTTGGCAAACTTACTGCCGGCCTCCTGGTAAGTTTCGGGGTGGCACACGGCCCCATTATCTCTGACACGGAGGCCACGTTGTGAGTGTGGCTGGCTGCTCGGTGACTTCCTCTTTGCAACCGATGTCATTTTGTTGTTTTGGTTTTTTTTTTTTTTTTTTTTTTGGAACAAGGGCAGACTTTTATTTAAGTGTAATATTCCGTCTGAAAAGGCAGCTCGAGGCCAGCCATGCATGTGTTAGCGTTTTCAGTATTTTTGGAAGTTCTTAATTTGCTGAAACACGCATCTCTTTGGGTTAAATTTAGGTTGTGAAAATGGTCTGTTCCTGTAACATTTGGGTTGGGATTTCTTTTAAGAAATGCTGTCTTTGTTAGGTTACCTAACACCCTGGAAAATAATTGGGTGATTACACATGAAAAGAGTTGGAACCTAGCTGAACATTAGGTTTTCCCAGTGCCTGGAGTTCACTTAAAACCTTGGACTTCGCCCGCCCCAGGGTTAAGGGTGTTCCTACGTAAGTCATTCACAGTTAATTGGAGAAGTTTGCTGTTGGCTTTCTTGTTTCCCAAACAAGAACCTTATGCTCGTCCAAACATGTTAATAAAATATGGTGGGTGAAATGGTGTGTTATTTTTAGTCTGAATCTTGAGACTGAGGGCTCCCCCATCAGTGTAAAGTAACCATCTTCTTTGCCTTCTCCCCAAATCACTTGGGATAATATAAGGGCCTCTCCTGATTTAACTTATCTAAAATGACTCGCAGTAAATATCCTGATGGCCCATTGAAAGTACTGAGTGAGTTTTGGGGTTTCCCTCTGTGATTAATGGTCATTTTTGTTAAATAAGAGCCGTGATTATTAGTTTATTTCATCACCCTGACTTTCCTAGGACTGTATTCTCACCACTTTAATAAGTTTATAGTCTGGGGAAGTAGGACATCTTTGTCTCCACGAAAACACTGTGTATCAGTTGGGAGTTGATGGCAAGCTTCCCAAATTATCATTGAGAGTTCTAGAAACAGTTGGCATTTACCTGTGGGGGAGGGGTGGCAGGCAGCACCCTGGCCTCCGGAGTCAGGCTGGCCCTTGTGCTGGGCCTTTGTGCTTCGAAGTCCAGGTTTTCTGCTGCTCTCATTTTTCAAGTTTTGCTGTCCTGCATCGTATGAAGTGTGTAAGCATAAAAATTAAATTCATAAATCACTTTGATTTCCTTTTCTGCTAAACTATGGGGGATGAAGACAATATGTGTGTGAAAAGTTGAGCAACTTAATTTGTTAATGGCTTAAAAATTATTGCAGCTTCACCCTCGGTTTGAAGCATTTTTCTTTTAACCTGTGCCCGTTCGGTTGTTGACATGGGTAACACTGATGGTGAATGGAGTGGCCCCTTGCTGAGACTGTATATTTTCGGCAGTACTGTGGATTAAACCTAGGTCTCCCTACCACTGAGTCTCAGCTCTGAGATTGTTTTTTATTGATTGTGTTAAAGAACTGTTAACTATCTTAACTTTTTACATATGCCCAAGAACCCTTTTTGATCTTGCATTCTGAGCATCTAATTAAGGTTTTGGCTGGAGTGGTTACCACAACACCAAGAGAACAAGAAATAACTTGAACTTGGAAGGTTTCAAGCCAGTGGAGTAAAGGCAGCTGCAACTTTCTAAGCATGGGCGTTACTGATAAAGGGGGCATGACAGACGGACCTTTGGAACCTGTGGAGTAATTTCATGCTTTCACACAAGTGAAGTTTAAGGACAGCCTGGTCAGAGGGCGGGGAACAAAGGGATCCCCCTTCCACAACTTCCTCCTGTGGGGTTACTGTGGAGACTCTTATCTCTCAACACATTTAAGTGGAGCTAGTTGAAATAATGTTAGGTTTTTTATGTTTGTAAAAAGACTACAAAAGAGTGAGTTGTAACTCACAGGAAAGAGAAGGCAGACGACCATCAGCACTGGTCAGGACTGTAATTTTCTAATACCTGTGAACTAGGCTCACTTTACAAATAACATTTATTTGGGCTGGAGAGATGGTTCAACATTTAAGGGCGTGCACTGCTCTTGGACAGTTGGGTTCCCACTACCCACATTGGGCAGCTCACAACGTCTGTTCCTTCAGCCCCGGGGGAATCCTCAGGCGCCTGCTCTCACATGCACATACCCCTCCCCCATACACATAATTGAAATAAATCTTTTTAAAAAACCAGAACTCACAGTGTGCAGCTCTGAAATACAGAAGAGGAATGCAGCTAACAGGACATTTATAGTTTGTCTTCAGACCTTTCCATGGGGAAGAAGGCTAGGGCCTCAGGGCTGTGCAGCAAGGAGCTGGTAAAGGGCATCATTTGATTTGCCTGTGGGTCTGTCACCCATAGAAACTTCTGTAGAGAGTACTTCTGTAGTGAGTACTTCCTGCCACTGGCATTGTACTCAGAGTGCAATTAATTGCCCTTTTACTAGAGAGCCAGAGGAAAGGGACTTTGCTCTGGCCACCTCTAGGAGACCTGAGGTGTTGGCTGTCACTTAGTCTAATCCCCTGAGGTCTGTACTGTTGACTTTCTCTGTGTGTGATAGGACCTGGAGGGGCTCAGAAGTCAATTCACTTGTTCAAGGTTGCTGAATGATTAGGCGGTGCCCGCAGGAGGACTTAGTCCAGGTCTGCCTGACCCTTGTCCATGCCCTTTCTAGATGACCGTGTTTGTGACAGATTTCTCTGGTTCTTCGTCAGGTTGGTCAGTGGATTTCCGGACAAAACTTGTCTTATGGAGATTGTAGCTTTGCAGGTACTTCTGAGCTCCCCAGGTGATGGCATGGACCGGTGAACCCAGTCGTTTTCCTTGTGCGCGGTCTCCTGAGGTGCTCCACCGTGTGATTGTTGTCTCTCCTGCCCTACGTTGTAGCCTCCCCAAATACAGAACAGAAGTAGAAGATAAGGAAGGACAAGCCTAGAGGAGCCTGGCCAGCTGTCCTCAGAAGTAAGCATTCCTGAGAAGCACTTGAGAGGCCACACAAGTTTCGTGTTGCAGTGCAGGGGTCCTTGTGAACTACCCAGTCCCGCAGCGTCCCTTACAGGGTGAGGGTGGTACTCCTGCTGCGTAACGGGGACGCTATTTTCTCCTAGAATGGAGAAGATGGAGCTGCATATGTCCAGGGCTCAGAACAGTGCTTGACCTACCAAACATGGCAAAAGTGCCAGCTGTTGACGGGGTTGAGCAGAGCTTCCTTTCTTTGTATTACAGTGCTACTTCTTGTTGTTAGTGTTAGTGGGGACATATAAAGCTTTTGGCAGGTCTATTTCCTGAGCTCCTGGACAAAGTTCTTGAAATAAACTTAGTATCATTTATTTACTGTCAAAGTTGTGATTAAGGCCTGCACCATGAAGCACCAGAGAATCAGCTGTTGATGGGGTTGAGCAGAGCTTCCTTTCTTTGTATTACAGTGCTACTTCTTGTTGTCAGTGTTAGTGGGGACATATAAAGCTTTTGGCAGGTCTATTTCCTGAGCTCCTGGACAAAGTTCTTGAAATAAACTTAGTATCATTTATTTACTGTCAAAGTTGTGATTAAGGCCTGCACCATGAAGCACCAGAGAATTAGACTGGATTGTTCTCTTTGCTTGGGCCTGCCCAGTTAGGTGATTGGCTGGCTGCTGGGGGGGCGGTGCGGAGCTTCTGGGCCTTCCTTGTTCTGCCATTTGGTCTTGGACTTCAAATCTGTACTACTTGAAACGTTTTCCAAACTTTTAAATAAAAACTGAATTCTTGGAGCTGAAGTCCCTGGAACTTTCGGTCTGTCTTGCAGGTTGGAGTGGTGATTTCAGGGAGGTGTTTTTGTTTGTTTGTTTGTTTGTTTTTCCTCTAGCCTTGACCGTTTGTCAGAGTCCACGCTCCCAGACAGGTTTCCTCAAGAATACCTGTGCGGTGGCTCTATTCTGCAGTGATAGTGCAAACAGTCCACGTTCTATGTGTCAGGACTACGCTGGTGCTTTGACAAGTCCTTGTATCATTAAAGCAGCTGGTACCCTAAATGTAGCTGAGGAACAGACTCAGGTGAGGGGCCCAGCACCGACCTGACAGCATGTGGCTCTGAGGCCAAGGGCTGTGAATGGGGAAGAATTTGGCATTGTGTGATCTTTTCTTCCCCTGTTTTATCTGAACAGTTTCTTCTCTTTTCCATCCCCTGTAGCTACTGACAGCATCGTTTCTTTAAGGTACTGGTTTTATGACTTAGTCCACTGGAGAATTATAACTGGTCACATCTTGCCCAGTGGATCAAGTTCCTAGGTTTTGGCCTGACTTTCGAGGCTTCCACATACCCCTTTATTTCCCTCTGTCCCTGCTGGACTCCTGCCTGCCCCTCAGACTCAGTGGTTTTACCGTCTTTACTGTTGTTTGACTTTGGTCAAGCCCTTCCTTTACTTTGAAATTTTAAAGTCCATTGTCTGTCCCATTTCTGTGAACCTTTTTCAGCCCCCTTGACTTAGGACATTTCTTCTTTGAGAGTCCACTGTATTTAACAAAGGTAACAGCCCTCCCCTCTCCCCTGCTTGCTTTGTGAGTATGGGTCGTGGTGTCCCGTCACTAGACGCAATGCCTCTTGAAGGGGAAGAACCTGTCTTCCTTAGAGAATTTTGCGAAGTTCTTGTTTATTTTAGGCTAAATGAAAAGCTCAAGACATCATTTTCAAGTCAAAATGGGTTGTTTCTGCAAGGCGTCTTTTAAAATGAGCAGTGAAGGTCCAGTTCCATTGATGGGCGAGAGTTGTCCTGACTTAGAATTCCCAGGCTTGCGGTCTCACTGTCACAGTGAGTGTCCAGAGTGGACAAGAGAAAAGCCTGCTCAGTTCCTGGTGTTCAGTGAAAGTGGATAAAGTTTGTCCTCTTAATTGGAATAGTGGCTGCAGTATTAAGGGAGCACGTGGAATCATGTTAAGAATCATGTCCCCAATCCACTCTACCCATTTGTACGTATTGACTGTTCCTCATTCAAAATGCTTGGGGCCAGATGTGTTTTGGGTTTTTTCTTTCCGACTTGG